CATTATTTGCGTAAAAATACAGTAGCTCTTCACTCCCTGCCCCATCTCCAAGGGCTGCCACGCTGGTCTGTGCAGCTCCTGGTGGCAGGGCTGGTCTCTCTGACCCCATGGTGGGCACAAAGCCCTCACAGAGTCCCGGCTCCTGGCCATGCCTCCAGCCCGCACCCCAGTGAGCCACAGAGCTGGGTGCACAGTGGGAGTAGCGTGTTTATTGCACCCCCCCACACACACACACCCCACCCCCCATCCCCGCTGTCCACTCAGACTGGACTTTCCCTGCGTCGGGAGCGGATTCCAGGGGCATGGAGGCAGTGGCCAGCGTCCCCCAGGCAGAGGGCCAGGTTCCAGGCAGGCCACAGGGTGCTGTGGATGGACTTGAGGCAATGACGATGTAACTAAACTGTGCTTGGGTTTAGGAAGCTTGTCTGGTAGCAGCGGGCGTTACAGAAGCTTCCGGAGATAGGAACATCCTCATCCTCACACGGAGACTGAGGAAGTGGGGAAGCTCCGCCCATTGAAGAAACATTATTAGAGCATTAGAGCAGGCGGGGCATGCAGCTCCAACTCCTGTGCCAGGGCTCACAGGCCTTCTTTCTTGCTTATGGGAGTAGCTGCTCCTACAGTCAGGGGAGACAGCAGGGGTGCTCGATGCCTCCTCTGCGTCCCCATGTGGGATCATGTTGGGCTCAGCACTTCTCCCTAGCTTTGTCCTGTCCACATCGCAGTCCAAGTCAAGTCCATCTTCCCAGTTGTTCAGGCAAAACAAGTGAACAAACAGACCCTCTCTTGTGTGCTGGCTGGAGCTTCACAGTTCACCCTGATTTCCATTCTCCCCTTGTGCTGTGCTTCCGCGATGCAGGACCCTCTTCACTGCTCTTCACCCTCCCCTGTCCATCACTCCCCCCCGCTCTGACACCTCGAAAGTACTCATACCTCTGGGCTTTCACTGGTGCCCTAAACCATCCCAGCATGCAGCAGGTGCTCAGCAGGCCGTTGTAGGGCAAGTCTGTGGCTGAGAAGTGGCCTTGGGTTTGTTCTTCAGAGTATCAGCTCTGCTGCTTTTGCTAAGTGACCTAACCTGTTCGTTGGAGCCGATTCTCCTCTTTGAGACAGGAGCTCCATTAGTAGTGTTAGTGCTAATTAGTGTTCAACAGTCGTGTCGTGTAAATAATATTGGCAAGCACATCTCTGGGGCTGGCTCTGTGACTGCCATCATTTATTAATCTTTTTTTAATTATCAAGAGACATCTATTGGCCTGTGCTGAGCCCCCTGGGCCCTGTTTAAAATTTGAGCTCCTGCCGCAGCATACTGCCTTCCACACAGTTGTCTTGGGACATACGTCTGCTGGAGGTTCTCAACAGCTGGACAGTGCGTTTTACTAAAACACAGTGGCTTTGGTGGGCGTCACGGACGTTTTGTGTCCTGCCCAAAGACTGCTGGCTGTCAGCTTCCAAGGACTGGGGTGGAGCCTGTCTTTCTGGGTTTTCCTCCTGCTGGTGGCCTCTGTGCAGAGCTGTCCTGGGCCTCTGTGGGGCCCTTCTTGGAGCTGCTGGTCTGGGCCGTGTGGGCGGGGGCTGAGTCAGGGTACTTGGAGAGAGAGAAGCAAAGGGGTAGGCCTAAATGTGTCTGGCCCCCCGCTCCTACTTAGCAGCCCCTTGGCTCCTGGCGGCCTTGGTGCCCTCGTCTCTAGAACGGGCACAATGCTGTGAGAACTCTTGCTGTGCCTGCCGCGCTCAGGCAGGGACCTCGAGGTGGTGGTTCCTGACAAGATTCTTCCTGCACCCGCAGCACCCAGGCAGGGGCCTCGAGGTGATGGTTCCTGACAAGATTCTTCCTGCACCCACAGCACCCAGGCAGGGCCCTCGAGGTGGTGGTTTCTGAAAAGATTCTCCCTGCACCCAAGCACCCAGGCAGGAGCCTCGAGGTGGTGGTTCCTGACAAGATTCTCCCTGCACCCCCAGCATGCAGGCAGGAGCCTCGAGGTGGTGGTTCCTGACAGGGCTGGGTTGTTCCTGCTCTTGGAGCTGCTTGTCCTGTGCCCTCTTCACTCACCAGGAATTCTGAAACAGGTTCCAGTTGGCCAGTTGGGGTTGTCCAGCCTGTTCACCTGCTTTTTATGAAGCCTCTGAGCACGTAACCTCATCACTTCCTGCAGAAGTTACTTTTCACACATCAATCCCCGAGGCTGGTTTTCCCTGACAGCCTGCTTGTCTGCTGCCCTGCTTGCCCCTGCTCTGCATCCCTGTCCTTGCTCTGTACCCTGGGCCCTGTTCTGCTCTCTGCTCGCACTCTGGTCCCTGCCTGTGCCCTAGTCTCTTCTCTGTTCCCACCCTGCTCTGCCCCGTGGTCCCTGCTCATGCCTGCCATTGCCATGGCCTCCAGCCCCTTGGGATGGGTTGCCCGACCTTCCTGCCATGAGGAGGGAGGAGCCTCCCGCCATCAGCACTGCCCTTTCCAGGAGCCACATGCTCTGTCACCACAGGGATTGAGGCAAATACAGGCCTCATGTGGCTCCCGTCAACAGCGCATTGCAGCAGTGCATTGCTGTGGAGGGCCCTGGGGGCTGGTTCGGGGGGCCAGGCGGGTGCAGAGTGGGGGCTGCCTCCCAGGGCTGCTCCCCCACACAGTCCTACCCTGACCAGTTGTCCTTGTCCATCATAGAGGGTACAGGCCCCTGGGAGCGGGCAGGCAGGAGCTGGAGGTGGCCATCATCCTGTATCCTGGGGGTGGCAGAGCACCAAGTCTCTGCTTGTCATAAACTCCCTGATTTTGTGCCATGGCAGCACTTGCTCACAGCCTCTTGATCCCTTCTGTTGGAGAGTCTGGTGGGGGGGACAGGCTCCCTGTAGGGTATCAGAGGCAGCACAGCAAGGCATAGGTGGGTGATTTTACTGTGGGCTCTCCGTGTGTGCAGGAACAGTTGGGAGGCTTCATGAAGGACCTGGAGTTTGGATGGACATCACAGACCTTTACCGAACAAAGCTAAGGGTGTGTGAGGCTGGAGGCTGAATTGGGGGTGGGGGAGGAGAGTATCCCTGGCAGAGCAGAGGCAGAGTAAGCGGCATGGGGCAGCTCCTGCTCTTCCCTCCTCTTCTGCCCAGACTCCTCCCCCTAGCCAGGGCCTAGGACTGTGTCACTCATAGTCCATGGTGGCCACGAAACAGCTTCTCCTAGTTTGCCAAATTGAGCCCGTCCTCTTGTTTGGGAGAGTCCCGTCCGTAGGGTGGGCAGGTGGGCAGGCGACCAGCACTCGAGGCAGTGACGTGTCTACCGTCCTTAACCCGAAAACGCCAGTACTGGCTCTCCACCGACCCTTGTCCTGGCCCTGCAGTCTCACTGGACAGATGGGCATCAAAAACCAGAATCAAGTCAGTCATGTTTTATAGTGAAGGATGTTGGAGAGGCAGCAGGAACCATAGACAAGAGAGCCGAGAGGGACCTTGGAGCTCTCTCCCTCCTTGGGCCGAGGGAGGTGGGCAGCAGCTCTGTTCTTCGGGCTGGCAGGAGGCCAAGGGTGGTCCAAGTCTGGACCCTACAAGGGGCTCGGGCAGTGGAGACCACATCCAGCAGAGTTGGGCCATCCAGCTTCTGGCTGCTGCGTGTCTCCATCAAGCTTGTGGGCCAGGCCATGTCAGGGCTCCCTGCCTCCTGCCATGGAAATGTGTGTCGGGTGGCCTGTGGATGGGCCGCATGCTTGGGAGTCCTTAAGGTACCCATCGGACCCCCTGCAAGCCCAGCACCCTCAGACTGGGCTGCCCTTCCTCGGTGTCCGTAGCGTGAGTCTATGAATGCACACATCAGCAGGGCCTGTGCTATCGCCCACTTCTGACTCAGCTCAGGAGAGTGTCCCATGCAGTGCGGGGCCCCTTGTCACCCTGGGACCGGCCCCCAGGGCAGTGAGGCACGTGACCTGCTTGCACATTCAGAACCAGGGCTTCTTGTGGCGCCTGGTCCCAGACGGGCAATAGTGCATCTGTGCGATGGGTGGCCCTCATCCGGCTCCATGCCCTGTCCTGTGTGCGGACTTGTCTGCACCTGGTCTGTGGACAACTGTCTTCCTGTGGGGGGTCTTCTGTGACCCTAGCAGTTTACTCTGTGTTGTCTCTCCACAAACTCTTCCACGGTCCTCTGGACCCTCGCTTTGTGGCCCTGTCCTATGTGTGTCCCTCCACAGTGGCCTCTTAAAGAACCTGTTGTGGAATGCCCGCAGCGTCTGAGACAGAAACTGCTGTCATCCCGTCTCAGTGAGGGTTAACAGCACTTCAGCCTGTTGTCTGGAACCGGTTTAGACTGGTTTTCTGGAAAGTGCTTTGTCTCTCAGATGGAATCCTGGGAAGGGTCATGTGGAGCCCAGTGATGTCACGGGATCAAAAGCTGACTCAGCGCTTTTTTTTCTTTTCTTTCTTCTTTAAATCAAGATGTGCATGCTCTGTAGGTATAGGGCAGGGGCGTGGTGCTGTGCCAGGCTCAGCCCTAGCCAGGGTTTACCTCACTGGCAAACACAGGGTTAAATGTGCCCCCAGGTGAGTGGGAGTGAGGACACTGCCCTTCCCTGAAGGGGACAAGACAGTGTCACCTGGGTGTCACCCATGCATGGGGCCTGTGCCCAGGAGTGAACTCTGGCCCTGGGCAGTGTGGCCATCCTGACCCTGGAACTGAGCACAGGTGCCTGTAGCCCCATGGGCAGGTGTACAAACCTGGGTTAGTGTCCTCCTTTTGCTTGAGTGTGGAGTGCAGAGAACCTGCCCCTCTGTGCCCACCTCAGCCCACAGGTCTCTGGCCCTGGTGGGGTGTCCGTAGCTTGGCACCCTTGTTGTGGAGGCTGGGTCCCTGTCCTTGCCCCAGCCTCCGGAGACAGCGGAAATGGTCCTGTGGGCCCTTGCCGTGTCCTTCCTTCTGCCGTTGCCCTGTATGGGGAAACACACTCACTCATACTTTGGGACATTCCCAAGGAGTGGGACTCCCTCCATGAGGCCAACGTGCTGTCTTTCCCCCACAGTTCAGAATGACTGAGGAGGCATGCCGGACCCGAGGCCAGAAGCGGGCGCCTGAGCGAGACCCAGCCAAGGACGATGCCGACGGCAAGAGAATGAAGATGGACAGAGGTCTGGTGGCCTCGGACTTGACGACAGGGACCGACACGACAGTGCGGGCCGAGTCAGGCACTGTCCCGGGCCCAGGGCTGCCCAGAGCAGGCGAGACAGGGAGAGCAGGCGAAGGGCAGGTGGCTGACGGGCCCGTGGACATGCGCACCTCACAGAGGTGAGTGGGCTTGGGGTGGAGTCACAGCCATGCGGAAGGTTGTGACGGAGCAGGCGGAGATGGAAGTGACCATGGGCCAGAGGTGAGGGACACAGGCGGGTGATGGGCCCATGGACATGTGTACCTTGTAGAGGTGAATGGACGCGGGGTGGAGGTGTTTGGCCAGGTGGGGTGGGCTCCAGCCCTGGCACTGCCCCACCACCCCTGACCAGCCATCTCAGCCAAAAGGACCCCCATGGGCCTCCGTGTTCCCATTCATGGCTGGGGAGGACCCTGGAGGATGAGGAAGTACACCTGCACTGGCTCCCTCTGCCGACAGCAGCTCTTTGGTATACAAGTACGGACATTCAGCCAAACTCATGCTTTTGGTCTTGAAGGAAAACTTGGGTGTCAGTAGAAACTAGTTTTTCATTGGGTCATGTCATGCCTCCTGATTTTTCAGAATTGAGAGTGGGGAGCTAGGGATGCTCCACTGGGGACAGGGATGGGAACAGGGTGAGGATGCCTGTCCAGGACACCTTCAATATGTATGTATTGGGGTGGGGGGGGATTTCCAACTGCTTTCGCCCCCGACCCCCAGGTGCATTAGGCAGGGCTGCCACTCCCTCCACCCGATGTCTCCATGCCCTCTCCTGGCCTTTCCGCAGTTGGTACTGATTATTCAGGAGTGACTTCTATGATAATCCTCATTTTTGAGGCTCTTAAGGTAAAACTTTGAAAGAAATAAGACTCAGTCCACTACCTCGTTTCTTTGCTCAAAAACCTTTTTCCTGTCTGCCTGTGAAGAAGAATTCAGACCTGGAAACTGCTCTCATAGAGCAGCCAGGAACCTCTTCGACCTCTCTTCACCTTGGAGTGCTGGTGGGAGCCATGCCCCCAGAACTTCCACGTCCGGCATGCCAGGGCCTACTCAGGGCTTCCCTCTGGCCTCATCACTCTGAAAAGCGGAGGTGAGAGCTCCTTCTCTTGCCGCAGCCAGGATTCCTTCTCCGCAAAGGGCTTGCCCCTCTGCTGTCTGTGGCCAGGGTGGCTGCTGCTGGAAGCTGGCACCTTCTCACTTCCCTGTGGAGTGGGATGGACCCTCTGAGGGTCCTGATTTGCAGTTTCGTGTTAAATCTCTTTTGGAACCAGACTACTAGAATTGTAAGGACTTCAGACATCGCCTGGTCTGGTGTCTCACAACTTTGTACATTTTTAAGATAACTTTGTAAATTCTAACGTCCTTGAGATAAATGAGACGATCCAGCTCCATCTATTGGGAGGATGTGCTGTGTGTTCCTGCCAGCCAAAAAGACCTTTTTCAGCTAGCTTTGCTTTCTGTGGAGTCTCCAGGTGTTGCAAATGATGAACACTCTCAGTTGCTAACCGAAAGGTTGGCAGTTCAGGTCCACCCAGAGGCACTTCAGAAGAAAGGCCTGGTGATCTGCTTCTGAAAAATCAGCCATTGAAAACCCTATGAAGCACAGTTCTTCTCTGACACACATGGGGTCACCGTGAGTCAGAGTTGACTTGATGGCAGCTGTTTTGTTTTTATTTTTATTTCTGCAGTCCCCATTCTGAAATCAAGAGGCCTTTTTCAAACTTCTAGAAAGTAAAATTGTAAAGGCAGGTCTTTTTTTCCTCTCTGTAGCTCAGTTTTCACTAGGAGAGAAGTTCATGACTTCTCAGGTGAGCAAGCAGCCAGTGGCGGATTTGGAGCCAAGGCAAGAGAGGAGGAGGATCTGCTGGTCTTGCTTGTGTTCTTGGCTCTTTCTGTGTGTTTTTTCATAACCTCCACAGTGGACCTGCAAGGTGGGCCATTGGCAGTGTGTCCCTTCTGCAAGTAAGAAGTTAAGTGTTGGGTTGGTTCAGAGCTGGAACTGAAGTCCAGGTCTTTTTGTTAGTGCAGTGAGGGGCCACATTTAGCCTCCAGACCTCTGGGTCTTGTTTTCCTGCTGCTGTCTGCTTCCAAATGAAGGTTGCTCAGACTATGTGATACTGTGTTCTGAAGTCGGTTGGAATGATACGACATGTGAAGGGTGGGAGGGGGTGTGAGGGCGGGGTCCTCCTGCAGGACTTGGGGAGTCTTTATAGCATTTGTGGAGATGTCTGGCATCCTGACAGCAGTGTGAGGCATGGGAGGAGCCTGGATTGAGGCCAGCAGGCAAGGGCTGGGTTCCGATCACACTCCCGAGTGCTCTGGGCAGAGCTCTCAGCCCTGTCTGTTCACTTATAAAATGGGACGACAGCTGCACCTGACAGGGCAGTGGGACGGTACTAATGATGTGTGTCTATGGTTGCTGTTGGTGCCAGACATGCCGTGGAGGGAGTGACTGGGGGCAGTGTTGGTGACTGCCCCTCCACTCTCCTGGAAACAAGATGTCGCGTGGAGAGCTGGTGCTCCTGAGGTCCCACATAGAATGCCCTGTCCACTCCTTTGTGGGCTGTGCATATTACACAATCACAGGATTAAGCCCCCATGAGCCATTCTAAAATTAGAAATTAGAAACCTTTAGCTAGTTCTGGTTTCTGTGATAAAAGTGGACAGCTTTCGGATCCTCACTGAGGGTGTCTGGCTTGGCACCTCCCTGTATCATGGCTTGCTTCACCCATCACTTTCCATGTTGGTGCTGAGTGTCCGCAGGGGCAGGCTCAAAGGCATAGTCATGTCTGACCACAGTTTAGGGTGGCTGAAACTCTGGCTTCAAGCTCATTGTGTCTGTGTAAGGCTAACAGGCCAATTTTAAATTGTTCTACAGAGAATTTCACTTTGTTTTGTAATTTGATAAGTTCTTTTAACTTTTTAATTGAAGTATAAGATACATAATGATGTATAAGTTTTCACAAACTGAATGTACCCTCATAACCCAAATCTGGAAACAGAACATTCTAGCACCACAGAAGTCCCCTTGTGCCCACTTGCTGGCACTTGTGCCCACTGGTGCCCACCATCTCTCCAAGGGTAACCACTCTCTTGACTGCTAATAGCATAGATTAGATTTTCTGGTTTTGTACTTTAAATGGAATTCTATAGTAGGTACCCTTCGTCTGCCTTCTTTCATTTAGTTTGTGAAATTGATCCATATTGTTGAGTATAGCTGTAGTTAATCCATTCTCACTGCGGTATAGTATTCCACTTACAGAATTTCTGTGACTCTTTTTCAAAACTGCCTCTTTTTCTTTCATACTGTCTTGTCTTAGGATCCAATTTGGGTGTCTTGAAGGCTAGAGGCAATTTCTGGTGGCTTCTATGAGGGAGTATTTCCTTTTCCTTTAAAATGGCTGATGAATTAAAATCACCAAAGTATTATTTTTATTATAGTGGGCTGATCTGGAGCATCCAGAGGCAGATAAAGGGGTAGGATCATTCTCTCGCTCTGTCTCTTTCTCTCACTCCCTCTCCTGCCTTTCCTCCCCTCTCCTGTCTCTCTTTAACTTGGCAGTTTTTCTGTGTCTCCCAGAGTGTGTTTTATTTTCAAAATAAGTTGATCAAAATTGTAGAGCAATTTCCAGCTGTGGTTGAGTGAGATGATCAAATCCTTCCCCCAAAGATCAACTATAAAGCTGCACAGAATAGGGGGGAAAAAAACATTTCAGCACTTTGGAAATTGACCAGAGGCATACAAAAACCTGAGATGTGTTTATGTTCAAAAACCTGCTGAAGCTTGGGTGAGGACAGTGGGACTCTATGGCATTTGGCCTGGGACTCCTCCCATCTGTCTCCCCAGCTCCGTCGGTGACAGGGTTCTTCAGGACGGTGCAGGCTGTGAGGAACTACAGCTCCTTTGCTGGGGTTTTAGGGGACTTGACTGACTTGGAGAGGTGGGTGACACACAGGTCCCACGGCTTTGTTGGCAGAAGTGACATTCTTGGAGGTTGGTGAGTAAGGTCCACGCGTGGCACAAACGGTTTGTACTCAGCTGGTAACCAAAAGGTTGTCAGTTTGAATCCACCCATCAGTGCCACGGAAGAAAGGCCTGGTGATCTGCTTTTGTAAAGATTACAGCCAAGAGAACCCTGTGGAGCCGTTGTACTCTGTAACACATGGGATCTCCTAAGTCACAAATCAAAAACAATATCAACAACAGAAGAAGACAGTCAGGGAGGAACCAAACCAAACCCCTTGCCATCGAGTCGATTCCAACTCATAGTGTCTCTATAGGACAGAATAGAACTGCCCTATAGGGTTTTTAAGGTTGTAATTTTTATGGAAGCAGACTGCCACATCTTTTTCCCACAGAGCGGCTGGTGGGTTTCAACTGCCAACCTTTTGGTTAGCAGCCAAGCAGGTAACCACTGCACCACCAGGGCTCCTTTAGGTAGAACAGAGGAACAAGAAAGACAGGACACACATAGAAACAACAAAAAGACAAATGTGAAACCAGTCATATCAGTAATTACATTAAACTTCAATGGTCAAAAGACTCCACTGTCAGATTGAATAAAAAAAAAAAAAAAACGGATCCAGCTAAATATACGTTGTCTATAAGCGACACCCCTTTTAGACTCACCGACACAAATAGATTGAAAGTAAAGGGATGGAAAAAAGATATGCCATACATACAATAACCCTAGGAGAGCTGGAGTGACCATACGAATATCAGATAAGATAGACTCCAAGATAAAAATTGTTACTAGAGCCAAAGAGGGGCATTTCATAATGATGAAAGGGCCCATACATTGGGAGTATGTGGCTTACAAATGTATGTGCACCTCACAGTAGAGCCCCACAATGCCTGAAGCATAGAAACAGACAGTTCAACTGTAGTCAGAGACTTCAGTACACCCCCCACCCCCACCCCCCAGTAATTGGTTAGGACAACTATACCAGAAAGGTTAAGACTCATCACAACATTGTCAACGCACTCAGCTAACTGGCTCCTATAGAAGAGACCACCTGATGCCTGCAGAGAACATACTATCCTCAAGCACATGGGGAGCATTCTCCAGGACAAACCATATGCTGTGCCCTGAAACAGGTCTCTGTAAATTGCAGACCCACTGGAATGGCTGTTGGGGTA